AAAAAAAAAAAAAAAAAAAAAATGGAAGAACTAAAAGACCAAAAGTGTATGATGCGCACTCGATTTCTATCAAACACCAGATGTCTCGATGCTTATGGTTAGCGGATCATTATAACGGTGGAAAACGCCGAGGGCAATTGGGTGACCTGTTTTAGGCGTGACACTCTGTGTGTGTAGATTTTCACACATAAATCTATATATACGTACATGCACACACACACACATACATACATACATACATATATACATTTATGAAGAGTTGAAGTTATATATCGGTGTACATAACGAAAAAAAAAAAAAAAGAAAAAAGAGGCTGGACCTCGTTCGAAAATCATCGTTGTCAAACGATGGAAGATTCAGTCGTGGAATCTTCGAACGCTTATTTCGCCATGCGGAAATCGATCGCGTAGCATCGTGCACGCGCGTTGCTGTTCGATTATGTTCGCGGCCAAAAACGCGATAAAAGAAAGTATGAAAAATTGCGGTCTAGCGCGACAAGCGCCACACACGTATCCTAAGAATCGAATTTCTCTCTATTCGTGTCAATCTCTTTTTTGAACGATGTAAACAATCGATATTCGGAAAATAAAGTTTCTTCGTTTCCACGCACAACAGCCGACTCGTCAGCGACTCGAATCAAACGAGCGCCGCGCAATGGAAGATATTTTATCATATTTCGAAACATCCGAGGTAATTTCGATCGTTTCTTTTTTTTTCTTTTTTAAGTTTTTTTTTCCTCACTCGAAGAGACTGGAACTAATTTAGTCGTTATTTTTCGTGATACAGCCTGTGTCAATAGTATCCTCTATTTCGATGAGAATCCCGCGAAGCTCATCATCTCCAGCTATTTCCTCGTCACCATCGACCATCGAAATCACCTCAATTTTGAAGAGAATTCTATGAAGTTCCGTCATCTCCAATTATTTCCTCATCACCGAATCCTAATCATCTGCTCGCCAGTCTTCTCTTCTTCCACTCTCACCTTTCCCCTGTGGCAATGGACACGAGTACCTGGCCTAGAAGGATTTCTCGCTAATTTGAAAGGTTGCACCTATGATTCTCTTTTTATATCGATTTTTCTATCATCTCTTCGTGTCTCCGCTCGTGGAGACCTTTCGATATCAGAAACAGTGTGCTCTTTATTCTTATTTTACATTCGTACCAACGTATTGTGTCACCGTCATCGTCAAAAAAGACCTGTCCGGGATATTATTTTTCTTATTTGAAGAGGTTTCGCACACGATACGGGAAGGCAAAAGAAGAAGAAAGCGGCATGCACCGAGATGGAGCTTCGCATCTCGATAAGAAGATTTGAAATAGTGGCGTGAATCCTGATATTTGACAATGGTCGTTTGCCGACCGTGTTGGAGGTTTGTGTCTCTTGCCTCAGCTTTTCACATTCGATCACTCACTGTTTCATGTTTCGTTTCAGGTAATCAAAGCTATCGTCCACAGATCCCCAGGGAGTATGACAAAGAAGTGAGGTGAGTGGTTCGTTTGATCATAGAAGGGCCATCAGTTTCACCGAAGTAACATTGTCCACAGGTAAATATCTAGGACAATACCTCCTCTAGGAGGTAGACAAATATTTAGATAAATAATCGCAAGTCTCAATGGTGACAGTATTGTATTAGGAAATTCGACCCAACCTCAGAGTATGGAACTGGACAATAGCAAGTGACTCATCGTCAAATCCATCTTCATTAAAAAATCTGTAGAATTTTTTTAGACGTCATTTCATTCTTGTTAGAGATGAATTTATATCGTATTGAAATTTGTAAAAACCGACTTCGGTTGAAGTTTATCTTTATTGACTCTCAATTCTATTTTTCATATCAAACTGTAAAGTAAATCATAAGCTCAGAGTACAACATTCTCGAATATCCAGTCAAGATACGAATTGACACGCGTGTATATTCCAGGTTTTCCACGGTCACCGCATCGAATTCCCCAAGACACTATCCCGATGTTTACCCATCTGCCGTTCGCCAGTTGATGTAACAGCGGTCCGCCAGAGTCACCCTACACGCAATCACCGATCAGAGAATTAGCCTTTGTCTCTGATAGACTAGAGATCTACGTTACGCACCTGACAAGCATCAGCTCCGCCTTCGTAAGCGCCGGCGCACATCACGGTGTTTGGAATTCGTTGGACGAAACTATTTGAGCATTTGTTTTGCGGCCATACTGGAACCCCGACTTCCATCAGAATCGTACTGGCAGGACCTCCGTAATATTGCGTGCCCCAGCCTAAATTTTCCGACCGTCAGATTTTATCCAATTTTCCGACTCAAGGTACATTTCTTTTAAAGAATATTTCTCGCCATTTCTGTGTCTTTCTATAAGCTTTGTATAAGTTCTGAATATTTCTTGGCTCATTGTCAGTAGGGAACGAAACGATCACCAACCTGTTACGATCGCGTCCTTTTGCTCGAACGTTTGATCGATCGGTGGCAGGCACACAGGCCAGATGTAACTGTCGAAGATGGTAGGTCGGTACATTTTCAGTATCGCTATGTCATTCACGTACGTGGTGAGATCGTAGTCTCGATGCACGCGTATTTCGGTGATCGTGAAATCCAGGGCCCTTGTCTCTTCCGACTCCTCGAAATCGTATTCACCGAGTCTGACTTTGATGTCTTGTGGTCTCAATCTGACAAGCATAAGCTTGGAATTAACATTATGGTAAAGGAAACAAAGAGAAAAAACGGGACGAGGGTATGCATAAATGCACTATCTAACAAGTTGTTCACAGTCATTAGTTTTGATTTTCGTTAGAAGATAAGCGTATGTGTAGCATATTGTACCCAATATTTAAGTTATACTCTGTTCGATATTATTTCTTGTTACACCTAAAATACAAAATATTCTTTCATTTCTTATTATTATATTAAAGGCCCACAATGCTCCCTAATACAAAATAAGTTTGAATCCTGTTTTACCTCGTTGGCACCAAAGTTCTTAATCTATTTACGTGTAAACGCAGTGAGCAGCAGTTAAAACGTGTCTGTCGGTGATAAGAACCCCGCCACAGTACTGAATTCGATCTCCTCTAAGAACAGCAACCATCCAGGGCCATTCGGTAGGATCGGCCGGTCTACCGCCCACTAATCTGCTTCGACTCTTCAACGTCGTTCCGCATCCTCTCAATGCTGGATTTCGAGGTCGAGACGTTGTCGAGCCGTGGTCTACCGACCAAACGATTCTGCTCATATTACGGAAGATCGTCTTCTTTTGTTTTCCATCGTCGTTCGCTGAAACGAACGAATGCCAAGTGTTCAGCTTATAAGTTTATAAGTATTGCGAACGAGATTGCACGGCTACTTAAACTACGGTTCTTCTTTGCTTAAACACGTCGACTGCCACGCGAAATTTATCTTAAGTCTTGCCTGTTGAGACAGAATGTTACTCTCTGAATTTTCAGAGAATAATTTTTAGAGAATATTTTCTGATAAAGGTGTCCATTTTATACTACTATCTATAATCATTACGTATTAGATAGAGTATAATATTATAATATTAATAGAATATTATTATCGTGGATTCTTTATGTTATTTTAAAAATTTGTTTGTCGATGAGTTGCTCGAAAATATTCCTAGATGTGATCATCGTGACAGTCGACCTGTCAATCAATTGCGACGTACCGACGATCAGCGGAAGAATTTCGGCAAAACTCCTGTCCTTCGTAGATCTTTTCGAGCAACAAACGCCTGTGTACCTGTTCCCGTTTCGTTCGATTCAGTTCCAATTAAACTTTTACGTAGAGGTAAAGGACGGAATACGTGCTTACGTGTTATCGATCGTGCACAAGTGATCTATAGCAAGCGTAAAATTTGAATCGTACTCCTGAGAGAGGCATCGTCTCAAATGCTCGCAGGATCCCGCTTCATTGTTTAATCCGACACACTTCGAAGACTGCGTTACCTAAATGCAAATTTTCTTTTGCTTAACGCTGTCACGTTGTACAGTTATCTTACAACTAGACTGCGGATGTTCATTCACTTGTGTGTACCGTTTCGATTGAAGAGGCTGTTCCGTGATAGATATGCTCTGTAGAATCTGTCAATGATAAAGCAAATGATCAACGATAGCGCCTAGAGGATGTCCAGCATAGATAAGTCAATTATATCCGTTCGAAATGAAAAATTTTTCCTCGCAGATAGCAGACAAATCTGTGTTATGAATTTTTTCAATCACCATACGCGTACACTATCAATTCTTTCAGTCAGAAACAAGTTCTGCTTATTATTATTATAGTCGTATCATCTATGCCGAGGGATTCACAAAGTTAAAAATTAATCAAGATAAATTCCAATTAGATTTGTAGCACACTACAAATAATTTAATTTAATTTTGATAGTAAAAGTAATTTATTTCTATCAGAAATGAAACGACATAAGAGATAAAGTATAAAGGGATTGTTATATACGTCTGAAAGACTGGTAATTCAAATTCATTTTCCATTTAATAAATTAACCAAATGTCACCGAAACGAAGCACTGTCTTCACGCAAGAACGTGAAACTTACCTGCTGTGTTCTTGTTATAGGTAGAAGATCGAGCAAGTGACGACGTACAGAGCACACCTAGAAGGAACACTGATTGCACTTGTATCTGCATCTCCAGGTATCCTTCTGATTAACTACGTCGACCAAAATTAATCGTAAGTCAGAACGTTAGACGACCAGTGTTAGAGAATGAATGAAACAATCGGAAACAAATGGAGAACTCTCGCTTATATACGCGCACACGTTTCCTAAATATGCAACCCGCCATACACTTGAGTCTTTCATTTGCAGAGATCAAGGCGTTATTTGCGCTGTAGATAATTCTCATCGATCAGTATCGATCAGTGCGAAGCAATTGTACGTACCGACACGATCATTGTCAATCTGGTAAACTCACTTAAGCATTAACGTTGCATCAATGCAACATGTTAATTTTTAATTTGCAATTACTTTGCCAATGTTATGGGCTAAGCGACCCATATTATGAATAATGACAGAATTGGACGTTGTAATTAATATCTAAATTAATCTGAATTGAATGTAGCTTTATTCAACATCTATCAAGCTATTGTTTTAATCATTATTCATGATAATATTATAAATAAGATCCCATTAAAGGCAAGCCATTATAAATGAAGATCTATTACTCACTTAGCATATAAATATATATATATTATAAAAGTAAATATTATATTATAAAATATATAAATAATATATATATATATAATATATTTAAAAAACAATCTTTACTTCTGATACTCGCGCGGTACAAATCTAATATACTGTCAGTTCAGAGAATTTAAACATCGAGATAAAATGAAGAAAAATATAAATTCCCTATAGAAAGAGAGGGAGGAAGATAATTAAGAAGGAAAAGGGTGAAACGGGAAAGGTCAGAAAATGACGAAACGGATCGTCGGAGGGGGAGAGAGAAAACGTGTTGAAAGAGAAGGCGAGAGGAACGGCGAGAGATCGAGGACAAGCCAGGGGCATTTCCATTTAAGGCACCCCGCGTGCGATCTCCCGTTTCACTCGGGCGCCACTTTGACACGCATATTCGCGAAACTGTTTACACCACTCGAGTAACATACTTTTCGTGTCGAGTGGCTCTCCTCTCTCTTTCTCGCTGCAAAAATTTTCACGTCGACCACATGGCGGCAACGTTGCAAACTGGGTCTCATGGAAATTCAACGTGCAATAATAAAGTTTCGAAAGGCTTGCTTATTATTGTCGTTGGCGAAATCAAATTATTCAATCATCTGAACAATTCGATTTGTCCAAAGCCAGACAGTGTCAATA